GTCCCCCTGTACTGGAATATCGCTTCGTTACTCAACCACTTTTCCAGGCATCGTCGTTACATCCGCGGCGAGACAAAAGGATCGCACCCCGCAAAACCGACGTAAACATCCATCGACGTTTTTCCTCGTTTCCGCGTACCCGTCCGTTTCCTCCCCACCGCCCACTCTCCTATTTTTGTTCCCTGTAAATTGCGAAACTGTCGCCAAGTTTTGCTTCCGCACGTTTATGCATTTATCCGCCTATTCAACTTCCACTAAGGTGAAGAAATAAAATAAAAAAAAAAAAGAAAAAAAGAAAGAACAGGACAGATTAGTCGAAAGGATGACTTGTCCAGTTGTTCCAAGCATTGGATATTGTTTTCGTGTTATAACACAGTTGCACGCAATACGTTTGAAACTTGGAAGTTGAAGGATGCTGCAAATCTGTTGCCGAGCATTGTCGAACTAAGCTTCCTAATCCGACGTTTTTTGAAATTTTGGAATCTTTTTTGGTTCTTCCAACGATTTGTCCACGACATTGGTGGTCGAAACGATTCGTGTTAATTTTGATAAATCTTTGTGGAATTTAATTACGTCTATAGAAAAAGAGGGGGAAGGTTTTGGATTGGGTTGAAACATTTTTCGATCGAGGAGTTCTCCTCTCCTTCGGCTGGTAATCTGAAAATAAATTCGAAAGGGGGAATCGATGGTCGAAAAGGAGAGAGGCGCTGGTAAATGTTGACCTTACGCCTCAACTTTTCTAATAATACTGCGTTTCATCAAGTTTTTCTCTCTTTCTCTCTCTCCGTTTTTTTTTCTCTTTCGTGCCGAATAACCTCTGATGTTATTTCCCTCCAACTAATTTCGATGAGATCGGCGATAGTTATAAAGTCTTTATAGCTAGGAAACGAGATCTGAAATTAAAAGCATCGAGTAGCTGGACTAATTGATAGAGCGTGCCAGGATTGCAAACGCCGGTTGCAAAGAGAGAAAGGAATCGAGCAGCGACGATAACGGGGCTAAATCGGTCGAGAAGAAATTCAAAGGAAGTTATTTCATCGAGCGAAGGAAAAAAAAAAAGACAAACGCGAATAGAGCGAAATTCGAACAAAATTCGTATTAATAATAAAAGAGAAAAAAAAAGAAAGAAAGAAAGAAAGAAAGAAGAAACGAACAACGTAAACAGAGTATTTCGAAGCGATATAAACAAGCAAACCGAGTGAAAAAAAGTACATAAAGATATTTCCCTCGCGAAAAATATCTACGCGAGAAATCCGAGAAACGGTAACTCGAGACGAGGTGGGGGGCAGAGTGGGAAGAAAGTGTAACGCGATACACAGAAAGTCACGGCCGATGCTTTAATTCAAACCCAACCGACCCACTTGTATGTATATCGTGTATGCACAATGGTAATGGGTCTCTACGTCAATTTTTATCTCTTCGTTCTCCTCATTGGAAATAACTTTCGATCTTTATTCGACTCGTCCCTCCCCTTTGCCCCACCGCAAGAAAATAATTACAACGAAAGACGACGATTCAGCGCGTTAATAAATTCCCTCCCTTCCCCCTCCCTCGTTATTCCAGTTGGAAATAAAGATTCACGATCCCTCGTTCGAGGATAAACGCGACAATACCCTCTGCGGTGTGTACGCGCGCCGCTATATTTGCTACGTTTCGCTCGAACGTTTATCGTCTATGGAACGTTTATGTTTATTATATACAATGGGCGCAAACCGCAAATGCGTATAAATTAGCCGCCGCGTGTAAATTCGCTCGAGTCGGTTTTCATCGATTGTCGACGAGCAGTAGTTGTTTGTTATGAAGGGACACCGCCACGTTCCATCGTTAACGAAATATCCGATCTATGTGTTTTCAATTTCAAGAGGAGATGGAGGAGACGCCGAGGTGTCTCTCTTTTATGCGAGTGGGAATGTTCAACGGGTAGGAAAGTATTGGTGCCGGCTTTTACGATACGTCGTCACTGCGTCGAAACGCAATTTCCTTGAAATTCCCCCTCCCCTCCCCTCTCCTCTTCTCCTCCCCCTCTTCCACGCCACGTCTTGACGCGCGAAACACACGTCGGCGGGGAAAGGGGAAGGGGGACGGCGTTTGTTTTCGGTCAGAATACACCACGAGGAGGAACAGAAGGAGGGGAGAAGCGGGTTATCCTCGAAGAAGGTGCTCGGATTGTTAGATGCTCCTTCGTCTTCCCCCCCCCCCCTTCGTTTTGGATTACAGCCTCGAAGGAGCGGCACGAGTGGAACTAGTCTCGGAGATGGAGCTAGTGTCTCTCTCTCTCTCTTCCTTCCACCTCTCTCCGATCCCGGTGAAACAAACGGCGTATCTCGCGCTGTCGCGGCAAACAGCCGCCATTCGCCGAATTATAAACAATACGTTGCACGCTGCGTTTGACGGCCGACAGACAAATAGCCGTGCACCGGCGGGATGTGGGCTCTCCCTCGCGAATTATAGGGATGAAAGGGAGAACAAACGCGTTCGTGGTTGACTCGGCCCATGGAAATGAATTTGCTCCGATTGTCGAAATTTGTACCAAATTTGTTCGCTTCTTCGATAAAATTGTACGATTTTAAAACGATAAAATATTTCGACGAAGGAGCGCAGAAACGTTTGCAGAAACGTTACGAGTTCGTTCTCCGTTATTATGGAAATTATCCTAGGAATAGCGTGCAATTTTGCAATTTTACGCGGGTTAACAGGGGAGGGAAAGGAAGGAATTGAAATCGTTTAAAGGAATAAAGCGAATCGAACTCCATCTTCCCTCCATCTTCTTTCTATTTATTCCACATCTCTTGGCGTTCGAAACCTTGTTATCTTCCGCGAAACGGCATGATGTATGGAAGGACTTAATACGCCGCGTCAGTTTATTCAGAAACGAATGCCTCTCGCCTGACTAATGCTCGAGCTTTTCCCTTCCGCGCCTTCCCTCCTTCTTCGAAATATTCTCTTTGGAACACCAGACGGAACGTATTTCCGCTCTCGCTTGAAATTTCGGCTTAAACTTTGCCTCGTTATTCTTGTGTCCTTAACGTTTGCATCCTTCGTTTCGTTTCTTTTCTTTTCTCTCTCTCCCTCTCTCAGAAATTAATCATTATTCCTCCTATTTTCTTCGATCCTTTCTTGGACCGGATCCTTTGTTCGAGATCAACGCGATTTCCAAAACCAGACGGAATGTATTTCCACTCTCGAAATTTCGGCTTAAACTTTGCCTCGTTATTCTTATGTCCTTAACGTTCGCATCCTTCGTTTCGTTTCGTTTCTTTTTTCTCTCTCCCTCTCTCTCAGAAATTATTCATTATTTCTTTTCGATTCTTTCTTGGATCGGATCTTTTGCTCGAGACCAAATCAACGCGATTTCCAAAACCACACGAAACTTATTCCCGCTTGAAATTTCGGCTTTGCCTCGTTATTCTTATGTCCTTAACGTTCGCATCCTTCGTTTCGTTTCGTTTCTTTTTTCTCTCTCCCTCTCTCAGAAATTATTCATTATTCCTCCTATTTTCTTCGATCCTTTCTTGTACCGGATCCTTTGCTCGAGATTAACACGAATGTATTTCCGCTCTCGAAATTTCGATTTAAACTTTGCCTCGTTATTCTTGTCTCTTTAACGTTCGCATCCTTCGTTTCGTTTCGTTTCTTTTTTTTCTCTTCCTTTCTCAGAAATTATTCATTATTTCTCTTCGA